ATATGTGCACGTATGTATGTATGTATGTATGCATACATGTATACATATATGTATGTACGTATGTATGTATGTATGTATGTATGTATGTATGCATGTACGGATGTGTATGTATGTATGTATGTATGTATGTGTGTATGTATGTATGCATGTATGTATGTATGTATGTATGTATGCATGTATGCGTTCATGCGTGTATGTATGTATGTTTGTAAGTATGTATGCATGCATGCATGCATGCATGTATGTATGTATATATGTATGTATGAGAGAGCGTGATCCACCGCCGCTTTACTGTGGAAAATTGCCAACCTTTTCCTCCGGAACCCGGGGGTCGCCCCCCCCCCCCTCCGAAAATCCCCCCCCCCTGCTGGAACCCCTCCCCCCCCCCCCCCCTTCCCGGCAAAACCCCCCCCTCCCCTAACCCCTCCCCCCCCCCCCCCCCCCTCCCGTTCGAAAACCGGGGGGGTCACTACCGGTTCGAACCCCTCCCCCCCCCCCCCCCCCCCCACGGATCCGGAAAACCGGGGGGGGTCACTACTGGTTCGAACCCCCCCCCCCCCTCTACTCACCGCCAGCAAACGACTCCCGGTCCCCACCACCGTCCGCATCACATCCCCCACTGGTGTTCCCAGCACCACTGTCCTCACCACCGCTGTCCCCACTGGTTCCACCACCGCCCCTACTGTCCCCACCAGTGGCCCCACCACTGTCGCACTGTCCCCGCTGTCCCCAGAACTGTTCCCACCACGGTTCCACTCTCCCCACTGTCTCCACGGCCCCAACCACTGCCCGACTATCCCCACTGTCCCCACTGTCCCACTGACTCCTCCGCTGTCCCACTGAGCTGTCCCACTGTTCCCACCACTGTCCCCACTGTCCCCACCACTGTCCCCACTGTACCTCTGTCCCATTGTCCCACCGCCGTCCTCGCCACCGCCTTCACCACTGTCCCCACCACCATTGTACCCTCCACTGTCCCACTGTTTCCACCTCATTCCCATTGTCCCCACACCACTGTCCCCACCACCACCGTCACCACCACTGTCCACTGTCCCCCCCTGTTCCCATCATTGTCCCCACCACTGTCCCCACCACTACCGTCCCCACCACTGTCCCACTGTCCCACTGTCCCCACCACTGTCCCGCTATCCCCTCACCACTGTCCCCACCAACACCGTCCCCACCACTGTCCGCACCCCCACTCGGTTTTCGAGGGGGGGGGGGGGTTCGAACCGGTAGTGACCCCCCCCGGTTTTCCGGATCCGGAGGGGGGGGGGGGGGGGGGAGGGGTTCGAACCGGTAGTGACCCCCCCCCCTTTTCATGATGAGCAGGGGGGGGGGGGAGGGGTTCGAACCGGTAGTGACCCCCCCCGGTTTTCCGGAGGGGGGGGGGGGGGGAGGGGTTCGAACCGGTAGTGACCCCCTCCAGTTTTCCGCCAGCAGCGGTAGAACACGCTCTTTCGTATGTATGTATGTATGTATATATGTATGTATGTAGGTGTATACATATATATATATATAGATATGTATATAGATATGTGTATATATATATATATATATATATATGCACCTATACATATTCCCCCCTGCCCCTCAAACAGGGCGGAGGGGTGGCCTGCAGTCTCAGACAGAAGCCGTTCCCACGGCGGGGGCTGCCGGCCAGGGCCCGTGCAGGCCCCGCCTGCGTGGAAACATTCCCCCCTCGAGCCGCCCCTCCCGCCCTCCGCACGCGCGGGCTCCCGAGGGCAGGCGGGCCTGGAGCCTTCTGGGGCCGACGCTCCTGTGGACGCCTCTCGTCGGCTCGATCGAGCGAGGGGCAACATCAGGGGGAGACGCGTTCAGGGGGGGCATCGAGCTGCAATCGGCGATAATGGGAGGCCTAGAGGTCGACACCAACACCAGTGTCGGCACAGATTTCTAGGAGGATCATCTTCCCCCGGTTGAGGCATGCCCATTTGTTGGTGGTGGTGCCCATTTCCAGGCCTCGAATATACATCGCCGTTCAATCGGCGGTAGGCCCCTATCGGCGATGGATGGGCGATCGGGGGTCGATGTAGCATCCCTGAGCCCATCGCCCCCCAACACCTGACAAAACTCCTAATCGAAAGCCCCAGCTCGAGGCTGGAACCTTCGAGGCCGAGGCTCGAGCTCTTCGGGGGCCAGGGCTCCCGGACGCTCGTCGGCTCGGGGATCGGACGTCGAGGTCCGCGGCTGGAACCTCGAGGGTCGAGCTTCGAGGCTGGAACCTTCGGGGGCCGACGCTCCTGGCCACTTTGTCGGCCCGAGGCTGGAAACTCGAGGGTCGAGGTTCGAGGCTGGAAATTCGAGGGGCGGCGCTCGAGGCTGCGCGGTCCCAGGAAGTCCCGACCCTTTCCCCGGCCATCCTTTCGCAGTTCTGGAGCCTGGCGTCTGACCTTGGAGGCCGAAAACGACGAAACTCCGCATGCCATGTGTCAAAACATTGGGTGGACCAGTTGCATCGGTGCTGTGCTCCCTGCTGGCGGGGCATTTCCTGAACCGGCCAGGAGGGTCCCGGGCATGGCCGCGGTGGCGCTTCTGGTGGCACCTCCCGCCGCTGCCTCCCGGAAGCCGTGCGCCTCGCTGGTGCCGCCCAGGACGGCCCTTGGCTGCTACTCGCTGGAGGGCGCTTGCCCGGCTCCGCCAGGTCGCCTGCCGCGCTGTTCCTGCGGCTGGGCGCCCGTGCCTGGCTGTTCCTGCGGCTGGGCGCCCCTTGTTTTCCCAGCCGCGTTGCCTGCACCAGCCCGGTCAGCCGCCTTCCCCGCCCCTGCCCCGCTGCTATTGCAGCTGGGCGCCCGCGCCCCGCCAGCCCTGTGGCCTGGCGTCCCCGCCACACCCGTTGTGACGCGTGCACCCGCTGTGACGCGTGCACCTGTTCCCGTCTCTCGCCGCCTTGCCGCCGCCTGGGCGTCCCCTGCGACGGCTGGCGGCTCCTCGCCGCGCTGCGCCACCTCAATGATTGGTTCTTTGCTAAGCGGCTCCCGGCCTCCTGGCCGTATCGCTGCTCGGCCTTGGAGCCCTCGGCGGCCTTGCAAACGGCAGCCCTGCAGCCCCGCTCTCAACTGCTCAGCGCGGCAGCATCGCAGAATTGCAGCAGCTTGCTGCAGCGAGCTGGTCGCTGGCCTCGGCCCCGTGCTCGCTGGCTATCCCGCGTCCCGCTGGCGCCGTATCGCAGCAACGCCTGCCACCCGCGGCCTCCTGACGAACACCCGGATGATGCCCGCTTCGGTGGGCTCGCTCGCACCGCCCCTCCTGTGCTCGCTCGACTGGGCCTACGTTTTCAGCGCCTGCAGCCGCTGCCTCAGCCCCTGGCTGTGGGCGCAATGCCGCTCCACTTCACCTGCCAAGTCGCCTCAGCAACGAGCGGCCGCCCCGGCCACTTCTGCCGAAGCTCTTCGAGCGTTGAGTGCCCTCTTCCCCCGCCCTTTATCCGCGGCCGCCCTAGAGTTTCAGTTTCGAATTTCTCGAAGCCTCGAGGTCTGAGATTGGAGGCTTGAGGACCTCGGACGCTTTCGTCGGAGCTCGGCGGCATTCCAGCCTCGGATTGCCCTTCGACAGCGCCTCGCCGAGAGCGTTCTGGGGGTACCCAGATTGTCCTGAACGGAAGCTGGAGGCCCGAGTTTTTTGTCTGACAGAACAACCAAACAGTAGACCTCTCGGGAACAGCCAACGGCGACGGATGAGGCGCCCAGGGCCGCCCCCGTGAGGTTTTCAGGCCCCGAATTCCTACTCCTCGCCCTGGAAGGTTCGCTCTGCCTGGTATATCACAATGGTATATCACAATGATACCGGAGAAAAACCCCAATCAGATTTCTGTTAGGGCTATAGGGCTACAAGGCTGTAGGGCTATTGGGCTATAGGGCTATACGGCTATCGGACTATCAGGCTATAGGGCTATAGGACTGCGACCTATAGGGCCGTAGGGCTATAGGGCTATGGGGCTGTAGAGCTATATGGGCTATGGGGCTATGGGGCTATAGGGATATAAGGCTATTAGAGCTATAAGGATATAAAGCTATAGGGCTACAGGGCTATAGGGCTATACGGCTATAGAGCCATAGGGCTACTGGGCTATTGGGCACCCCCGGGCACCCCCGGGCACCCGGGCACCCCTGGGCCCCCAGGCACCCGGGCCCGGCCACCGAAATCGGCCACCCGGGCACCCCCGGGCACCCCCGGGCACCCGGGCACCCGGCCCCGGCCACCGAAATCGGCCGCTCACCTCACCTCAGCTTTATATCCGCTAGGACCCCTACAGAAGCAAGCTCTGATTGGGGAATATATCCGACGATGTGATTGTCTCTATGTCAGGGTTCTTCCTTGGTTTCGGCATTGGGGGTCTGTTATCGAGCTCCAGGACAATCAGAAACGGATCCAGGACGAAAAACGACCCCCCGCAAGCGTTTGGGACCTCTGGGGCCGCCCCCGCGCGGTTTCAGGCATCGGATTCCGATCTTCGAGTCGGGGCGATCGAAATGGGTGCGGAACGAAAGGGGACGAAGGACTATCCATTTTGAAGAGGAGCCGCTGTCGCTATCGCCGCGGACGATGCCCACTCGAGATCAATCGGCGCCAATGGCCGCTCCCGAAAGAATTCCGACCTTCGAGGTTCCTCGTTGCAGAGGAAGGTGCCGATACCGCCATCCTTCCTTCGTTTTCGCCTATTTGGGCCTCCTGGGAGGCCCTCGTCGCCACGGCTGGATTCGCGTTGGAATTCTGGTCGGAACGCACCTTGGTGGAGGTAGGGGAATAACGGTATTGGTATCTATTGGTTCCCTAGTTCCAGCCTCGATTCTCAGAGCTTAGGCCCTTGACATTTGAGCCTCAGCCCCTGAGATTCCATACCTCCAACATATTGTTTTTCTCGTCGCAGCGCGGAAGAGGCAATCCGCACGCGCGCGCTCTACTGGCCCAAGGCATTGCATACTTGTTCTCCGGCGGCACGAAGGAGGGCAGCAAGCGTAGGAGGCGGCCCTGGGCGCCTCGCCCGGCGCGCCCTCGGCCGGCCCTGCGTCCACCAGCCGGAATTGCACCGGCCTCCGGTGGCGCGCGATTGAGGCCGCGTCGGGGCGGCCGGCGGCGCGGCGCTCCAGCGGGTAACGACGGGGGGGGGCCTCCTCCCTTCCCCAAGCTCCGATGACACTCATGGCTTTCTCGATCTGGGCGTTTCGCCTCGAGGGCGGCATGGGGCCCGTTGTCGGGCCCCGAGATCAGCAAAAACGGACCCGGGACGACAAACCACTCCCGCCTTCCTCATCATAGGAAGCAACTCCTGGGAGGTCGCAAGGACGAGTGAAAGCTATGAGCCCCATTCGGACCAGTAGGCTGGTCTAGCCTGGTCACGCCCGATTCAGCGGGATCCAGCCAGATTCAGCGGGATCAAGACGGATTAGGCTAGGTTTCGACAGGAGGACCACTTCTCAGATCAGACGAGGCCAGGACAGGGGCAACAAATCGGACCAGGACAAATCTGATATTTCGGACATCTGGCGGATCTGGAGGGTGTGTCGGGCGCCGCGGCCATTCCAGTGCGCTCCAGAACGCTCCGAGAGCGTTCCCGGTCGCTCTGAATCAACTTATCCCTGTGTTGATGTTGCCCTCAACGGCTTGTCTGCAAGGGGCCTATACAATCAACTGTTCTTACAAGCTAGTAGATGCGTGGCTGGACCCGGAATCGGTGTGGCGACATGGCCTCCCGCATGGCCTCCCGTACGGTCTCCCGCATGGCTCACAACATGGCCTCCCACATGGTCTCCCGAATGGCATCTAGCACTCCCTTCTGGTGTCCCTTCTCGTCTCCCGTGTGGCTCCCGAATGACATCCCGAAAATGATCCCTTATTGTCTCCCTTCTGGCTTCCTCCTATGGCCTGACTGTAGTACTCTCTAGAGTACTCTCTGTAATATTCTCTGCACATGGTAGCGCTGCCGTGATCGCTCTGAAGGGCTGTTTGCGGTTGACTTCTGCCGAAAGGGTGTAATTTCAATCCTGGCGTTCTCGTAGTTTTCAACCTCCGGGGCCCTTTATCGAGCCCCAGGGCTATCAGAAACGGATCCTGAACGACAAACTACACCAGGGGAAGGGGTCAGGACCTCAGGATTCGCGCATGGAAAATTCTAGCCAGAGCCCAATATCCCCAAAGAGCGCTTTTTGTGCCAAGGTGGCTCCTAAGGGTGTTCGAGCGTTCACCTGTTTCTGATCCGCCCGCACCTTCGGCGTGGTCCACTGATTCTCCTGGTCGTCCTTGCCCTCTTCCTCCTCCTCTCCTCCTCCTCCTCCTCGTCCTTCTCCTTCTCCTCCTCCTCCTCCTCCTCCTCCTCCTCCTCCACCCCCTCCTCCTTCTCCTCCTCCTCCTCTTCTTCCTCCACCTCCTCCTCTCCCCCCCTCCTCCTCCTCCTCCTCCTCCTCCTCCAACTCCTCCTCCTCCTCCAACTCCTACTCCTCCTCCTTCTCATAGCATCATCATCATAATCAGAATCGGCATCAGCATCAGCATCAGCATCAGCATCAGCATCAGCATCATCATCATCATCATCATCATCATCATCATCATCAGCATCAGCAGCATCAGCATCATCATCACCATCACAACCATCATCATCATCAGCATCATCATCGTTATCATCATCATCGTCATCATCATCGCCACCACCACCACCATCATCATCATCAGCATCATCATCGTCATCATCATCATCATCATAAGCATAAGCATCATCATCATCAGCATCAGCATCAGCATCATCATCATCATCATCATCATCATCATCATCATCATCATCATCATCATCATCATCCCCATTCACCCCTCCTCCTCCTCCTCCTCCTCCTCCTCCTCCTCCTCCTCCTCCTCCCCTTCCTCCTCCCTGTGCCGACGCCATTCGATACTGGGTAGAGGGGAAAAGCTCAAGGGACGCACGGGGCTCCACTAAGATTTCCCTGAACTCGAAAAGCACTCCTGGGTAGCCCTTTTTCCAGTGAGTGGCCAGTTGACAATGGCCTATAGGACCTTTCGCCAGCACTCTCAGGACAGGCGCGGCCGCCCCAGGGAAGCGAAGCCGCATGGGCCCGGATGCCCATCCGTGTCGATGGACAGGCACGGGTACCCGCCTCTGGTGCCTGAAACAAGGGCGGCAGTGCTGGCGATCGTGCATCCGCAGATCCTGCGCGTTGGCGTTCGTCGCGAGGCAGTCGTCTCCAGGACACGGCCCGGCGGCAAAGCTGGCGGTCCCGCACGCTCACATTCCCCTGGGCCTCGCACTTCGTTTCCTGCGGGCTCGGCCTGGCGACAACGCGAGTTTGCGCTCATTTGCTCAGTCTGCGCGCCTGCCCCCGTCGCGAGGCGGATGCCTCAAGGACGCTGCCTGGCGGCAAGGCCGACGGCCCTGCGCGCTCTCACGCCGCTAACAAGGTTCGTCCTCGCTAAGACGCCGCCGAACGGCAATGCTGGCCATCGTGCGCCCGCAGATCACGCTCGCCCACGCCAGTCACGAGGCCGCTGCCTCGAAGACGCAGCCCAACGGCAACGCCGGCGGCCCTGCGCGCTCGCATCTCCATGGTTCTCGCACTTCGTCTCCTGCGGGCACTGCCTGGCGGCGACGCCAGTTCGCGCGCATTTGCAGCGTCTGCTCGCCTGCCCAAGGCAGGCGCGCAGGGGGGCGGGCTGCCCCCGTCGCGAGGCAGATGCCTCCAGGACGTTGCCTTTCGGCAAGGCCGGCGGCCCTGCGCGCTCTCGCGTCAAACGGTCACCACCGTTCGTCCTCTTCGAGACGCCGGCTGGCGGCGATGCTGGCCATCGTGCGCCCGCAGATTACGCGCGCCCACCGCGATTACGATTCGGCGGCCCTAAACGCCCACTTGTCCCCGGCTTCCACACTTTGTTCCCTGTGGGCACTGCCTGGCGGCAACGCCAGTTTGCGCGCAATCGTCGATTGCCCGGCGGCAAGGCCGGCGGCCCCGCGCGCCCCCGCGTCGAACCGCCACCGAGACTCGTCATCTTTGAGACGCTCGCCAACATCAACGGCATGCACAGCGCCCGCGGAATACGTGCGCCCACCCCCGTCGCGATGCCGCTGCCTCATGGGCGCGAGCCGGAGGCAAGGCCGGCGGCCCCGCGCATCCTCGCGCGGCGCCGATGACCAAAATTATTTCTGGACAGTGGTTGGCGGCAGTGCCAGATTGCGTGCGCCCAAGGGCGCAGCCTGGCGGAAAGTCCGCTGGCCCTGCAACTCACAACGTCGAACCGCCACCACAATTTGTCTTCTTTTGGAAGCAGGCAGGCGGCAATGCCAGCCATCGCGCGCCGGCAGATCACGCGCGCCCACAATCGCACGCCGCCCGGCGGCGAGGCTGGCGGCCCGTGCATTCCCGCGTCTCCCCAGTCACCGCGCTTCGTTTTCTTTTGGGCGCTGGCTGGCGGCAATGCTGGCTCTCGCGCGCCCGCAGTCGCCGCGGGCGTGCCCCTTCCGAGAAGAATTGCCTCAAGGACACGGCGCGGCGGCGAGGCCGGCGGTCCTCCGCGCCCTCGCGAGGCCCGCGATGCCGCGGTTCGCCCCCTCTCGCACGCGGTCTGGTGGCAATGCCCGCTCGCGGCGCGTCCGCAGATTCTGCGCGCGCGTGCTCCCGTCGCGGGGCAGTCGCCTCAACCGAACGGCAACGATAGGGGGGACTGGAAAAGGGGGGGGAACATCAACCTGGAATCTGCGATACATCGCCAATAGATCGGCGATAGGCCCCAGATAGTGCATCCGCATGCGCCTGGGCAGGTTGGGGCTGTTGGGCCCCTATCGGCGATCAGCGGGCAATTGGGGGTCGACGCGCCCCCTCTTATGTCTATCCCCCCCTATGGTTGCCCCTGATCACGGGCGTTGCCTGGCGGCAAGGCCAGCAGCCATGCGCGCGCGCATTGGCCAGGACAGACAGATGTCTCGGCCGGGCGACGCTCGGCGGCAGCGCCAGCTCGCGGGCGCCCGCGGATTCCGCGCGCTCGCCCCCTGTCGCGAGGCACATGCCTCAAGGGCGCTGCCCAGGAGCAGGGCCGGCGGCCGCGCGCACCCGCGCGAAACCGCTAACCAGGTTTGTCTCCTAGTGGGCGGTGTCTGGCGGCAGCGCTGGCCACCGTGCATCCGCAGATGCTGCGATTTGACCCTCGTCGCGTGGCAGTCGCCTCAAGGGCGCGGGCTGGCGGCCAGGCCAGCCGCCCTGCGCGCTCACATCTCCCCGGTTATCACACTTCGTTTGGTTGGACATGTTTGTCGCAACGAACTTCGACGTTAATAGCGCGCCCTGTCATTAACGTAGTCACTCGCCTTTCCCCCCGCAGCCTTCCCCCTGCAGAAATGCGCAGCGTCAGGGTAGAATATGCTGCGCCCGTTGTCTGCAATTTGCGTCGTCTACAAAAGGCGTAAAAGCCTACGCGCAGGGGGGCCTACACCTCTTGTCAGATCAGCGCCCCCGCCACCCTCTCGGACGCGCGAAATGGGGGCCAGGCGCGCCCCCTTGAGCGTCTGTCGCTCGCGCTCGCGCGCACTCAGCGTTCTGTCGCACGCGCGCCCCCGCCCGTCTCACGCACGACTTTACTTGGCCCTACCCAGCATGAGGCAGGAACTGAGGGAGTCACAGCGCCCCAATTGCAACCGCCCCTGGCGGGCGCCCTGAACCTCCAACTCCGCTGTCGCGCAAGTCACGCATGGAGCAGCGAAAATGTCGCCAATATCGGCGCCAGCAATTTCGGCGCCAGCCCGACGCCCCGAGGACGGGCTAGCATCCTACGCGGCAGCTGCCTTGGCCAGCGCAATACGACTGCGGATAGGCCAGCACACCCACGCATTGCCGTTGACGCGGCCGAAACTTGGCGCGGAAATGATGCGGTCGTTTGTTCCGCTTCGCCACGTCGTTCCGCTGCTGGCATGCTGGGTTGCGGGAGGCAGAGGAGATCTCACATGCGCAACACATCGTCGGTCCCTTGCGCCATCTACAAATGGCGGAAACGTCAACTCTCGGGGCGGGGGTCTACACCCACTATCAGATCAGCACCCAAGTCAACATCGCGGAATTGCGAACTGAAGTGCTCGGCGTACCCCGTCAAGCATCTGTCACTCGCGTACGCAAGCGCTCTTTGACTTCTCTCGCATGCGTGCCCCCGCCCGTCTCATGTATATCTTGACTCAGTCTTCTCCGACATGAGGGCAGGAGATGAGGAACTCACAGCGCCCCACTTGCAACCGCCCCCAGCGGGCGCCCTGAATCTCCAACTCCTCTGGCGCGCAAGGCAAACATTGAACGATGAGAATGTCACGAATTTCGGCGCCCCTACGTTCCTGGGATGGGCCGGCCCACTCAAACATAATCCTGTTAACGGGGCCGAAACTCGGGGCGGAAATGCGACGTTTGTCCCACTTCGCTACGTTGCTCCGCTGCCGGCATGCTGGGGTGTGGGAGGTGACGAAAAAACTTCGTCTCACGTGCAACCGCATCCAGCGGGTGCAGAGACCCTTACGGGCCGCCGTCAGTGGCCCACCGAAACATGCGTCGTCCCCGTGGCCCCCCCCTGCTTCCCCAAAGGGCGGCGGCCGGCTCTAATGCGGAACAGGTCGCACCTGTCGCAAGACCAGCGGCGACATCGGCGGCAGGGCACTGAGCCGCCCAGTTCACCCTTAGGGTGGTCACCCGTCCTGACTGTGCGTTGCCTTTTCGAGTCAACCCTAGAGTGGTGAAACGCTTGCGGTCCAACCTGCGGCAGGGTGGCGTCCCAACCTGCGGCAGGGTGGCCCCCCCCTGGCACCCCTCGGGTGGCGTCCCAACCTGCGGCAGGGTAGGTTCCCCTGCCCTGCTGCGAATGAGTTCCCCCCTTCACTAGCAGGAAGGCGACACTCCACGTGGTTGAGCAGGACCACATATTCCCCGTAAGAGATCTAACCGTCCCGCCCTTGCGGCCCCCCGTAAGAGCACTCCTGGGGCCCGTCGACATGGCTGTTGTGGATCTTGCGTATTACGCGATTCTGGGGACAGACAGCTCATCCTCCGCACAGGCAGTGGGACATGCAACATGATTGATCACCTGTACAGTACATGGCGACATGGGCCACCGAAGTGCCCCCTGTCAAACCTAAGATGCCGCATAATGGTGGCATGGGGTTACGTTGTCCACATACGCCATCCGCGTATATCTGGGCAGCATCCTGCCGCACGTGCGCGCACGCGCATCCACGCAGCGTATTCTGAGCGTCCCGCACTCACTTCCTTGGCGTCCTGACCTCGCCGCCTCCTCCACGCCGGTAGGTGGTGAGGAAGACATAGCCTCTCAAACACAACCGCCTCCGCCGTGTGCAGATATGCTCCAACTTCTCTGACGCACAAGCTGCGAATGGATAACGCATATCACAACGGAGGTGGCTGACTAGTGGTATGCTGACACTTATACCACGGTCCTGCAACGGTCCTTGTACCTTCTGGCACCGTTCCAAGGGTGGGTGAGCCCTTGTGCCCCATCCGAATTCACAGGTTTATGCCTACCCTCACGGGCATCAGCGCTACACTACAATCCTCCTTCGCCTCCTCCTCCTCCACCTCCTCCTCCTGAGCCGGCCAGAAACGCTGTCCAGTTGGATCGATTGGATCGACGCGGAACCGTTCTGGGATCGCCGCTGGAGTAGATCTTAATCGTGAATGTTGACACTTCGCGAAGACACTACGCTAAATCCACTAGCGTTGTGTCAGAGCCAAGCGACTCTGACACCACGCTATGACACTACACGAGCTTCGCTAGCGTTGGGTCAAAGTCAAGCGAAACCATAAGGAAAAGCAAACAAACAAAAACTCGTCCTTCTCCCCCACATCAGCTGTAACGTAGTGTCACAGTGTATTGTCACACTAAGGTGTCCCCAACACTACGCCATGACACTACGCTAACCGTATGAATCCTTTGTCACGGAGAGGAATACAGCAAGGTAAAACCCAAGGGAAAAGCAAGCAAAACAAATCTTCTCTCCCACACACCAACCGTAGCGTAGTGTCATCGTGGAGCGTCACACCCGGAATGGAAGAGGATTCTACGTACAGCACACCACAGCACACCACAGCGAAACCACAGCTGAACCATAGCTCAACCAACGCAAACCACAGCAAATGCACAGCAAAACCACAGCACAGTAAAGCAAACCAGAACAAACCACAGCACAACCACGGCAAACCACAACAAACCACAACAAAACCACAACAAACCACAGCAAACCGCAGCAAAACCACAGCAAACCACAGCAACCCGCAGCAAACCGCAGCAATACCATAGCCAGCCATAACAAAACTGGGAGCTTGGGAAAGGTGTCCGCAACACTACGCTATGACACTACGCTAACCGTCGCGGAGAATCCTTTTTCACAGAACAGAGTCAAGCAACACCCTAAGAAAAACACACACACAAAAACATCTTCGTTCTGCCCCACCTCAACCGTAGCATAAGGTCACAATGCAGTGTCACAAAGCAACACTACGCTATGACACTACGCAAACCGTAGCGTAGAATCCTCTTCCACAGAGCGAAGCCCAGCAAAATGCTAAGGAACAGCAAACAAAACAAGTCTTCATTCTCCCCCACCTCAACCGTAGCGTAGTGTCACAATGTAGTGTCACACTCAGGTGTCCGCAACACTACGCTATGACCGCAGCGTAGAACCCTCTTTCCCAGAAAGGAATCAGGCAACATCCTAAAAGAACTGCAAACAAACAAACTCTTCCTTCTCCCCCCGCCTCAACCGTAGCGTAGTGTCATAGTGTAATGTCACACCATGGTGTCACCAACACTACGCTATGACACTACGCTAACCGTACCGTAGTGTCACAAATGTAATGTCGCACCCAGGTGTCCCGCTATGATATTACGCTGATACTAGCGTCGTGTCTTGGCCAGCTGTCACCAACACAACACTATGACACAACGCAAACTTTACTGTCCAGAACGCTACGCCATGACACTACGCTAACCGTAGCGTGGTGTCACAGTGTAGTGTCACACCCAGGTGTCTCCAACACTACGCTATGACACTATGCTAACGGTAGCGTGGTGTCACAATGTAGTGTCGCACCCAGGTGTCCCGCTATGATACTACGCTAATACTTGCGTTGTGTCTCAGCCAGCTTTCACCAACACAACACTACAGCACAACGCAAACTTTACTGTCCGGAGCACTACGCTATGACACTACGCGAACCGTGGCGTAATGTCATTGTGTAGTGTCACACCCAGGTGTCTCCAACACTACGCTATGACACTACGCGAACCGTAGCGTACTGTCACAGTGTAGTGTCACACCCAAGTGCCCGCAAGACTACGATATGACACTGCGACACAACACAACGCAACGCGATGACACAACACTGACTTTACGTTGTTCGAAACACTACGCTATGACACTACGATAACCGTAGCGGTGTCACAATGTAATGTCGTACCCATGAACCCGCAACACTACGCTATGGCACTACGCGAACCGTAGCGCAGTGTCACAGTGTAGTGTCACACCCAGGTGCCCGCAACACTACGCTATGGCACTACGCTAACCTTAGCGTAGTGTCATAGCCACTTGTCTCCAACACAACACTGAAACACAACGCTAACTGTACTTTCTTCACGATGAGGAGTGTAAATTCACAATTAAGATTCACTGCCACGCCGCTGGGTCGACACGGCACGAACCTGCCGTAGGCCGCCGGTGGAAAGGTGGCGCCCCCGAGCGTCTCCCGATCTTCCTAAAAGAAACGCCTGCATGAACATACACTTTCGGAAGCCGCGCGGCTAACTTGGAACGGCGCTGACCCCCCCTCCCTGGCGCGCGGAAGGCACAAATGGCGTCGCCGGAGGCGCCGCCAGTGAGGTCCAGCGCCGTTCCAAGAGATCCGCGCGGACCTCTGACAAGTTGTTGTTCCAGGGAGGGAGAGCGCAACAACCTGACTAACGACCCCCCTGGACAGCGTACGCCATTACGCGTACACCGACCCGCTATGCAGAGCCCCAGGTATCTGGTAAAACGCCACACATACCTCCAAAAATCAAAGATCCAAATTGGTGTTGTTTGCTCTGTGACCAGCGTTTCCCTGGCTGAGGGGCAACGATACGAAGGGGGGACTGGCTCATTGGGGGAAACGTTAACATGGAATCGGCGATGCATTGCCGAAAGATCGGCGATAGGCCCCCGATAGCGAGTCCACACGCTACTGAGCGGGGTGGGCTATCGGGCACCTACTACCGACGAAGACTGGGCGATTGGGTGTCGATGCGGCATGCGTTACTCATCTGAGCCTACCCCCCCAAGAAGGGTTGCCTCCTGGCTTTCGGTTCATAACGCGGCTCTCCTGCGGCCGATCGGGACGATCCGGCCCCCCTTGACGCCTCTCGGCGAGACGATGCTGCGAGAACGCATCCCGAGGCAGGAAAGCCGCCGAGAGCCGACGAACACGTCCGAACACCAAAACAGAAAACACGTTGCCTTCAGCGTTGCCCCTCCTTGCCCAGATCTCCTCTCCCTGAAGATTTAATACACGGCATCAACATCACTTCTCAAGGTCCACGAAGATGTCTTGGATCGGCGCTGACCCTCCTCCCTGGCACGCGGAGCGCGCCAAGGGCGGCGCTGGAGGCGCCGCCAGGGAGGCCCCAACGCGGATACAAGAAATCCACGAGGAGCTCCATGAAATGCTGTCTGTGCAGTGTCTGTTGTCTCAGATCGCTGCCCGAGAACTCCTCCCCCTCTGGCGCCGACCCTGACCTGGCCCTCCCCCCCCCTGGCGCTCAGTGCCCGCCTCCCCATGTTGCTCAGCAGCGGGCTCTGCTGCCTCGCGGGGGGGCGGCGCTCCGCGGGGCGGCCAGGGGCGGTGGCGAGGGGGCCGCCGAAGCTCCCCGAGGTGCCGACTTCTGGCGACCACGTCGGGTCTGCGCCGGATCGGAAACGGATCGGGTCGATATCGGATCGCAGACCTCAGCTCCGGCGGCTGGCCCTGCCCGATGTCGACGAGTCGAACCGAATCGGACCGAAGCGGAATCGCGGACCAGGCCCGCGAATCTCATCGCATCGGATCTGATCTGATCGTGGGCAGCCCTGCACGTGGTTCTGGGCAGGGGGGCGCTGGGACCGCCGAGGCTCCCCATAGGTGCAAACTGCCTGCGGCCACGGGGTGCTGGGCAGAAAAGGACGAGGCTTCGAGGGATGGGGCCCTGAGGGCGAGAACCTCACACGGCGAAGGTTCGACTTGTGGTCAGCTTCATACCCTTAGGGCACCATCCCTCGAGAAGGAGAGGAAGCGCCCCGAGAGACGAGGACACTCAAGCGAGGCCCCTGCGGAGCGGACGGGCGGCAGCCTGGGGCTGGGCCGGGGTCCGCCGCGCAGGCCGCGCGTACTCACCCGAGGCTGGGAGCGGTGTCCCACCGTTTTCACCTCAGAAGAAGTTGGCAGGCCATTGCGAGGGCCATGTTCTCACTCCGCAAAAGAGGCACAAAACCGCATAAACGTAACTTCCCTGAGGTCCTCGCGGATTTCTTGGATCGGCGCTGGGTCCCCCTCCTTGGCGCGCGAAGCGCGCCAGAGGCGGCACCGGAGGCGACGCCAGAGGGGCCCCAGGCGGATCCAAGAAATCCGCGTGCACCTCCGAGAACTCATGTTTATGTTGTTGTTTCTGTTTCGAGGATTGGCCCACCGTTGTCACCTCAGAAGAACATCTGCCACCGTGCCTGCATGGAATTGCGCCTAGAAGACCGCCCCCTCTGACATTGCGTTCCGGCAGTCTTTTCGGCCTCCAGACGGCAAAGATGGCCTCCAGGACGGCTTACAAGACAGCCAAGACGACACACCAAAACGGCTCAAGATGGCCCAAGACAGCTCAAAAGCCTCGCCCAAGAGGGCTCCAAGAGGAGCCCAAGACGGCCCAAGAAGCTCCACGAGGCCTTCCTGGAGAGCCCGAGGAGACCAAAACCATTGCTGTTCCTCAGGTGTTAGAAAGATTTTGAGGTTCTCGCCTGTTCGGGTTTCCGACCGCCCAAGATGACTCCAAGACAGCCACAAAAGCCCCCAAGAGGGCATCCAAATCGGCCGCCAGAACCTCAAAATCCTTCAAACATCTGGGGAGAAAATGAGGGTTTGGCCTCCTCGGGCTCTCCTGCAGGGTCTATTTGAGGTCTCTTGAGGGCCTCTTGATCTATCGTGCGGCCTTCTTGGGAGCACCGTGGCCTCCAGGACGCTTTCAAGGCAGCCAAGATGATACCAAGATGGCCCAAGGCAGCTCAAGAGCCTCTCAAGACAGCCTCAAGACAGATCAAGAAGCCCCAAGACAGCCCAAGAGGACTCCAGGAAGCCCTTCTGGAGAGCTCGAGGGGGTCGAACCATTGATGTTCCTTTGCCATTTCAAGGATTTGGGATTTCTCGCCGATTCGGGTCTCCGACCTCCCAAGACGGCCCACTAAGCCTCCAAAAGGCACCCAATATAGCTCCAAGACAAGCCCAGGAGACCCCCAAGAGGGCAAAGATCGCCCAGAGCTCCCAAAAAGGCCCCAAGACGGCGGTGAACCGCTTCAAGAAGGCACCAACACGGCCTAGAGAGGTCCCCAAGGCGGTCTCCACAGACGGGCCAAGAGTCCCTTGAGACATCCCAAGAGGCCGGAGAGGCCCCCAAGAGGCCCCATGAGGCTCCCAAGAGGCCCCGAGAAGCTGAAGCTGCCAGGAGGCCCCCAAGAGGCCCCCAGAAGACTCCAGGGATGTTCCTCCTCATCCGTATGCTCTCCCTCCCTTCCTCCTCCTCCTCCATCCCATTCCGAGACCAGCTTTTAGGGCGGGCCAGGCGGTTCGCCTGAGAATTACTCAACATGTATGACCCTGAAGCTTGAAAAATGACAACCCTCTCAAAGATAGAGGGCAGGTCGTATTCAAAATGTGGCTCTCGCCTTAGCACCACGCAAATTCGTTTTAGAAAGCTGCAAAAGTGTCACGGCCTGAAGGGAACCCGTTTTCAAAAGGCGGCTCTCGCATTGCCGCGCACATTCGCTTTACACATTTGCAAGAGTTTCACGGATTGATGGCGGTTCGCAAATGCAAATGTGCAAATGTGGCTCCCACCTTAGCGCCGCGCATATTTGTTTTACACATTTCCATTCGTTTTACACATTTGCAAATGTGGCTTTAGCGCCGCGCATATTCGTCAAAACCATTTGCAAGAGTTTCGCGGGTTCCCATGATCAAGGTACCAGACATGGTGTTTTGGAAGGATTCGGGATCATGAGGGTGCAACAGTGACGTTCGCTCGCGGTGTTGAAGTCCCAAGAATGGCGTTCTGACATGATTCGGGATCGCCAAAACGCAGCAATCAGGTTGATCCGTGGCGGTGGAATCCCGAGAACAATGGTTTGGCATGCTTCAGAATGTTCGAACGGTTGTATTCCAACGAGGCAATTCCCTCAATGGAAATGAACTGTTGTAGGGGCTTGTGAAGAGGGATATTG